CCCCGAGCCCTGGGACGGGTCCCTGCGGCCCGCGGGGCTCCGGGCTGGTCGCGGTGCTGGTGGCAGGTTCCCCCGCGCGGCACCTTTAGAGGTGGCAGCGTCACGGCGCTGCCCGTCCGGGCTCACGTGTGCTCTGCCCGGGCCCCATCGCGCTCCTGGGGCCCGGAATGGCCTTGTTGGTCCCCCCTTGGCACCTTCATGTCCCTCTCCTTGCCCTAGGTTAGCGCTAACCCGCAGGGAAGTGCCGTGTCTGGCTCCAGCTGCAGCAGCTCCAGTGTTGTGCCGAGGCGCAGACGGCTCTTTGGGATGGCCCAGGCTGGACACGGATTCATCCTGGTCCCCGTGATGTGACATTGCAGGACTGGACACTCCACCATTATGTGACAGGCTGGGACCACGCGCTACGTGACAACCAGGTCAGGCACCGGGGCCCTCACTGACGTTATCCTTTCTGCCAGCGCTGGTTTTGTGGCCAGGGCTGTGATGCTCAAACCTAAATGCGTGTGAATGCCAAGGATGGGTTTTACCATGAGCAAGGAACTATGTTGTCCTGTTTGGAAGCAACTCAGACCGCGCTGGGCTTGGAGCCTCCACCAGGCAGCAGCACTTGCTTCTAGCTGGGCTTTTATCAGTTCATCTGCCTTGGAGGACAGACCTGTTACGGGAATTACTGAGATGTCAGGGGCAGGCTGCAGTTTTGGAAACAAATATGCCTCTTGTGGTGGCTGCTTCTGAGAAGCTGCAAACCACACGCACCAGCTGGCTGGAACAGCAATATTTTTGCAGCTTTTCTGCTCTTCTCTGAGCAGCTGTCACACGTCAGTGGTTCCCAGCGGTGGAGGCCGCGCACAGCCTGGCTGGCCAGCAGATCTGGTCCTGCATTTCTGTATAAGAAAACCTCATCATCATCAGTGGACCTTCATGGAAATGCCATGGGCTGCAAGAAGAATCGGGAAGCCTGGCTCGTGGTGTCCTGGGATGGCCATTTGTTTTTAAAAGTCTGGTTTAACCTCTGCTCCGTTTTGAAGTTTGTGAAAAGCGGCTTGCAGGATGAGCCGACAGGAATTCGTGGCATCTGTCTGTAGTTCCAGCATTACATTTCTTCACTGCTGGGAAGCAGAGCACCCAGGACACTTCCTGACGTGCAGCCGGGTTCTGGGAAGGGGGTGCCAGTCACACCAGCTTCTGTGAGGTTTTGTGGTATTTTTTTTTCTTACAAGTTTTGAAAACCTGACCTAGAAGCCTCTTGAAGCTCTACTAACATTTTTATTTGCACAGGAGGCCTGCAGTCCACTGTGTTAGGAGAATCTGGTTTCTCAGATACTGTAAAACAGGTATGAAGCCAACTGGAAAATCATTGCTAGAGAACCTAACAGCGGTTCCCTGTTCACCTGAAAGGATGTGATGACCAAATTCTTTGTTTGGGCTTGGATAATGGAACGAAGAATGTGCTTATTAAATTTGCAGATGATACTGAGCTGGGAATGGATTCCAGAACTTTGAAGAGCTTTGAATCAACGTGAGCTTGAAAAAACTCAAGCAAATGGCTTGAGAGAACACACACGGTGGAGCTGAATAAGGAGAGAGACGACTGCACCCAGGTAAGGACCATGCATGAAACCAGAGTGGGAGGAGAGGCTCTGGCCATGTCCTGGAGATGCATCACCCTCGTACCCCGAATAGCCTGGGAGGAGGGCGGATTCCTTTCATTTCCGGGGCAAATTTCAAATTAATCTCCATGGTTTTGTCATGTGACATTTTTCTTTTGTAATTTCAGTCTCCCGTGTAATTTTTTTAAACAAGATGAGTTAAACTAAATGTGTGTTTTTTAAATTCATTCTGACACATTGATACATGCAACATAAAATGAGTCATCTTTGGGGCAGATTGCAGCCAAAATGTGCTAGCCAGCAAAGCTTCCTTTTGCCTGCTGTAGTGTCTGGGTGAGGATTTTACAGATTCAGCTCAGAACTCTGCATCCGTTTATTTTTTCGTCAACCTGATCTCATTCCTGCCTGTGGACAGAGTCTAATTTATATTCATATTAGCTCCTAAGAACCAGACACTGGTTTTAGTCTAGACCCCGGCTTTATTAGGTGAGTTTCTTTATGTATTCCCGTGCCTCTTTTCCTCTCCTTCCTGTTATGTCTCTTTCAGTAATTGCTTTCAATTATCAATTTGCTCCTTGTCTTTCCGCGCTCGGTTGTTTGCATTACATGACATTTCCCAGCACGGGGAAATGTTCCTGTAACGATCCCAATCTGTTTATTTTCAGCGTCGGCGATGGGCGCTCCTGGAGGAAGGAATTCCAGCGCCAGGTTGTCGGGAGCTGAGATGGGAAGGTGGAAGCTCTGTCTGTGCAAAGGGAGCGGTGTCTGCTCCAAGTGCAGCCTGCAACGATCCCTGGGATGCACCGTTCACGGTGACCTGCTTTTCCGAGTGCTCAAACACTGTTTTCAGGCAGAATACAAGGTCACTGCGTCGCGTTACCGGGGTAGAACAAACAACCTGCAGTCTGTGCACAAGCTTGAATTGTCCTGCACGTCTGGGGTTGATGCTTTGAGCGCTGTGTCCCTGTAACTGTTAGGGCTGTTGTTCCTCCATGCGTGCCGTGCACTGGGGCAGCCCCTTCCTGGATCTGCTGGAGGTCTCCGGTTATCTGGAAACTCGTAAATGGTTAATCTAATTGCATAAGAAACGGACAATGTGTTTTCTCCTGGCTCTGGGAATTCTTGCTCTAACAGGGGTCCCCTTCATTTGGGAGGATGCCAGCTGGATGGCAGCTTCCCGGCTCTGAATCCTCCGTTTGTGGCGCGTCTGGCTGGATTACACTGCACCGGAAGAGGCACCGGGAATGTTTATGGAAGCGATAGCCAAGTAGCTGTGGGACCCAGACTTTTAGAACAGTGGGTGTATTATAGCTTAAAAAGGCAATTTCTCTGCCAAATCTCATTGTGCAAGAGGGTTTATTCTTTAGCCTTGCAAAGATTTCACTTTGTTGGTTTCCTTTTTCACTAGAACTCCTAAGACTTGGGGAAAAAAAGAGAGCAAAACTGCAATGGAAAATGAGGATTTAGCTCATTTGACTTGGGTTACCACGACAGAGCCGTGCTGTGCTCCGGCGTCCAGCTGGCCTTCCCTTCCTGCTTCCCTGGCAGCCTGACCTGTACGAGACTTATATTAGAGCCTGCCCTGTTTGTTTGTTTTTTAACGTTTTGAGCGCTTCTCGAAGCTACGTGCTGTGTCACCAGCTGCGCTCTGTTGAAATACGAGGCCGTGCTGGGGAGCAGCACTTTGGGTGTGCTGCTGAGGAGGGTATTTCCTTGCACTGCCTGTGGAAGAAGAAAAATGCGTGAAGAGGCACATTCTTTTCTAGCACCAGAGGTAGGTTTAGGGCACCTAAACCCAGAGCATTATTCTGAAACAATAACCAGAGGAAGAGTTGGGAAGCTAAAGGCTGCCTATATCCTGTGAAACATAATACTCTTCCGTTGGAAGCTGCTTTTTTGCTGCCTGCCAGGGAACACCCTCCTTCCCGTTCCTGGAAAACAAGGGCCTGGCTACAAGGCTGAGCTAATTGGGCTCATGTCCACCAAGAAATGCTAAATGATATTCCAGTTAATACACTGCCAGATACTGTATCAGTGGCTTCTGTAAGGCTTTGCCTGTCTAACTGCAATAATCTTCCAGCTCCAGGAAGAAGTTAGCAAGAAGGCACCTTGGAGGCACCAGGAAAACACCCGTGCGTGCTGTGGGAGAGCAGGAAAAGTCTGTAACCCCATTTCCCATTTTTTTTTCCTGATGAAATAGGAGGATTAATAACTGGAGATGGGGCTGAGCTCCCCGTGTGTGAACGACACTGCGTGGAAGCCAGCGAGGCGGGCAGGAGCTTTAGCTGCAGAGGGCCAAACGCGTGAGTACGGTGGGGAGCTGCGTTTCCTGGGCAGAGCCGGGGTGTCGTGGCCTGGGATGTTAAGTGTGTGCTTAGAACAAACCTGCTTGCTGAGAAGAACTAAAATAAAAATCGATTTGAAAGACGGTGGCATTCTGTGTGTTGTCGTTTGTCACGTTGAGTTATATAATAAAGTTTTGGGGTTTTACAAGGTGCTAGCAAACAGAAAATTTGCCTTGGGAAAAAGCAAGGCCTGTGGAAGCGAGGGGAGCTCTGGGGCTGCCTTCCCTGCGGGCGGACTTGGTGCTGTCCCTGTTGGAAGGGAGTCCCGGGGCTACGGACAGCGGCTCCCGTGCATGCGACACGCGGGTAGGAGCGGGAAGGAGCAGCAGGAGCCCCGTGCGGGATGTGTGGTGGGTAGTGGATCCCGTGCAGCCGCTGGTGGAGTATGATTCCTGCACGGAGGCCAAGCGCTCCTTGCTCCTGTGACATTCCCGCTCCGTGTCCTCACTGTGCTCTACAGAATGCCCAAGCAAGCGGGGTTGCTTGGAGAGGGGGAGTTACTGGCCACAAATGTTGCTGCTGGGGCTGTTTGTTTGGAGGGTCCAACAAAATCCACAAAAGAAGAAAGCTCCTGCCCAGGAGGGCGCAGCCTCGCGCGGGCACCGGTGCCTTTGCGGCTCTCATGCGATCCCCGCTCAGGGGGAGCGTAAAGGGCTGCTGGGGGGCACAGGGGGACACGGGGGTGCCACATGGGGGGCCCTCCTGGGCCCAGGGCCCTCTGCACCAGCCGCTGCTGCTGGCGCCGCTGCCTCCGTGCGAGGAGGCCGCGGGACCCGGTCGGAGCCCTCGGCTGCTCCTGCTCCAGGGCTGGATGCCTGCAGGAGAGCAGGAGGGCGCAGAGCGGAGCTCGGCCCCGCTCCCCGCAGCCGCCCAGGGCTCAAGCACCAGCCCAGGGCCGCTGGGCAGCAAGGGGCAGCTT